ACTCCGCGTCTATTTGCTGCAAATATTCGCGCTACAAGACGCGCTTTAAATAAATATTGTACGCCTCTACCAAATTGATCATACGTAGTTCAGTTCAAATAAATATATGAGATGTTAAAAGCAGCAAGGATATAATTACTCTCTAAAACATTTAGAGTGATTACTCCCACTCTAAAGAGTAAAATCTTACTCCTAAGATTAGCTCAATTTTCATTCTTTAGAGTGAGAATCCATTCTAAAGAATTTAGAGAGTAACATTTGTATTTTTGGATACGTATTCATTCATAAAATATCGATGGATCACAAAATAGCCATGGATTATTAATTAATGAGAAAGGAAGACCGAGCACGTTCAAGAGAGTCCGCTGAGCAATTCTCGCACGTTGCACATAATACCTTCCTTATTGAACTTTTCCGATAGCAGCGATGATGTGGAACGATGCGTACGAACGGAAGATCGATCCGCGAGTGGATGTGACCGCTAAACGTTTTATCAGACGCACTAATAAAAAAATTGACCTTGACATTGCTGGACGACATAAAGGCAGCTTTATACATCTTTATATCCCATTACAGCGAACGCGCATCTTCACTCGGAAGTAATGCATTCATTCCTTTCCGCAATAATGTACATATTTAAAAAGAAGAACATGTTCACAGACATGTTTTCATTCCTCGCTGAGACTCTCGTCCGGCCGGTCGTCCTCGTCGTCCTCGTCGTCCTCGTCGTCCTCGTCGATCAAGCCCGATCATCCGGGTGGTGTCTTCTTCTGCTTGGTGAGTTCCAGCAATACCGGATAATGTAGATCCGGACAGTATTCCGGACTATTCTCCAGCAGCTCCAGATGCCTCGACCACACCATGTCGTCGTATCGTTCTGTCTGGCGCGCTATGAAGCCACGTTTGATCGACGCCTCGGCAAATTTCTGGAATGTCGTGCCACGTCTAGGTGCCATCATCAAGGCGATCCCGTCGTCAGTGAGCCAGCCATAGATCGTCTCCACCAGATCCAAACGAGCGTCGTCGAAGAAGAGGCAGTCGGCGCTTAGGATCACGTCGTAAAGGCCCGACGGCAGTCGAGTATTTTCATCAGTCGTCCGGGTCTATATCGAGAAATCATAATCCAGATTTCAATCTGGCAGCTGAGACGAGAATCAATGTATTCGCAAATCTCGACTTGGAATACGCGTGTCACTCTGATTGAAATCATATGAAGTTCGAAGAACGAGTAGGTTCGCGTATTTCAATACACTTCGTGTATTTGCGAAGGAAAAGTTTGGCAACTCGTAAAATCGAGAGAATCTGAAACTTTGTACAAATGTAAAAGATAGCTCAAGAACTTTAATCGGTTCTCGTGACGGATAAAAGACGATTTTACCAGATAATAAATAATCTGTCGAACTTTTAAAATAATTTTTTTAGTGTGTAATCTCTTCAAAACAATTTAAAAAATAAAAAAAAAGTTATATAACATTGTTATACGTGATCTGTAAGTAATTGGTGTTACAAAATATTACATCGATTCGAAAAAAGAACTTAAATGCTATATAGAAAGAATGATTTTGCTGTATTTAAAAATTTAGCTAGATACAGAAAATAATATTGTTGAACTATTATATGAAATAATAATTATATAGGAAATTCAAGCACGAACTGCAAAACATTTTTTTTATATTCTAGCAATCAACTTGAGCGTTCTATAGATATTATTTGATATTTCAACATAACTTACATAATTTGGAAGTTTTAACGTATATAATAAAATTTTATCATATTAAGAAACAATTTTAAAGATTGTATTTACATTTGGATATGAATTTCGGCACTTGACTCGTATACGCTCTTATTAACTCCACTTGTTATTGTTTAACATTAAAAGTTTTATTATTATATAGAATATACGTATTACTTCAGCTTACATTGCCAAGAAAGGAGAAAAAGTCTTATTATATATTTTAAAAACTATTTTCAGATCTAGCTAAACTTTTAGATACTTCAGCAAAACCGTTTTTTCCATGTGGAATGTGTATATCTCGATCAAGATTATTCGCGATATGTTTCGTGGTTTCGACTTGACCAATAAAATAATTATTGTTTCCATATTTTTATTTTATTTGAATCCCATAAAGGATATATCAAATGAAATCAATAATTTTCAGTGTATCAAATTAACAAGAAAGACGTTCAATTTTTCAATGTCGAATTCTTCAAATAAATTCGATTTTTGCATAAATAGACAAAGTCAAATGGTCGCTTTTGCAATTAAGCTCAGTCGATCGGTCGAATGATCTTTGATTTTGGTTAGCTAGTGAAACTTCATTGGTTCTGGTCAAGTGGAAATTTCCCACGAAAAAGATGTCAATTGCGTGGAACGTTGCAAGCTACCGGAAGAGCACAGAGGCTACATTATAAAGACTACCGGAAATGGAGCTGAGATACTTTAGCCGGAAGTATCCGAATGGTGTATTTATGTATCTGAACCGGACATCGCAAAGACGCGGGAATTCTGAGCTCTCATATAACTGTTCTTCGCGGTACATCGAGAAGAATACACAGGACATCAAGTATATATTTTCTAACTACTACACAGAAAGAAAGAGACTATTCTTAAATCAATCATAATATACTCATATACAAGCAAAAATATTATAATCTTGCTTCAAAGATATTAATCTTAATTTGATTAAATTTGTTTTGACGCAAATATTACTTTGCACTCAATTCAAGACTTGCTCAATTAAAAATCTTATCTCATTCATACAAATTCAATCAAATCAAGACTAAAATCTTTAAAGCAAGATTACAATATTTTTGCTTATACATATATGAATATATTATGGTTGATTTAAGAATAGTCTTTTTTTTGTGTAGGACTTTTAAATTTTTTAGTGTTTTACTTGAAAATAATTAAAAAATTAGAAATATCAGAATATGATAGCGACATGTAAAAATTAAAGGAATTACAAACTAAGTAGATAAATTTTAATCTGTGAGAAGTCTTAAGTTCATTAAAATTTCTAATATTGATCTAAAAAATCTGAGTTAAATTTTTGTTCAACAAGAAATTCGGATGTAACATAATATTTTCGCACATATATTTTCTAGAATATCTCATAAATAAGCAGTGACAATCACATTGTGATAGTATGACATCTCGAAATATGCTACAATAATTCTTTGTTACGTGACTCCATAACATAGTACGTGCTTCGCAAGAGATGCGTTCTTTTGAACAACATATTTTATGAGAGTATAAATTAAGCAATATTTTATAATAACATAAATTAGAAAAAAAAATTGCTCTCTCTAAAATTGAATCAGTGGATATGATTGATTATTATCAGTTCTAAATATGTCTCTGTAATCAGTGAAGTTTAACCGAAAAAGAAAAAAAGTTTGAGCATTATATAATTAAAATACAGATACGTACACGTTAGTTCCAATATACATTGAATGTATATAAAGCAAGATTAAGGATTCCACGTATCATTGATTTTTTAGTTGAATTGCACTATAAATGCACTGATTACCAATGACATATTTGGAACTGATAACTCTTGATTATTCACTGAATCAGATTTAGGGGAAGACTTATCGTTTTGCCAAACTCTCAGAATCTCTCTTGCCCTTAAACTTTTCTGATTTAGGGGAAATTTTTTCAAAAGCGCCAACTCTATATTATCGTAAAAGTACGAACCATTCTTAGATCGCGGATTACCGTTCCTTTATTTATTCTATGATTCCCGACTGCATTATGCTTCCCTGACAAAACCTCAATTTTTCTATTCATCGGCTCGCAATGACCGCAATGACTCATTGATCGTGGCAACGAGTAGCGCATTGCTGTAGGAACGTGCAACCGCGAAACCGGGCGTGTCGATATCCGATGATCCGTCGTCGATTACGGTTAGCGAACTCGTCGCTATCATTCTCGTTACAGATGCGAATCACATCGCGATTCGGAGTTTACGAGACGCATTATTCGATCGCAGGGTCGGCGACCAAGCCGAATTCTATGCCGCGATTAGCTAAGTTTAAGATTAGCAGAAGCTGACCCTTCGATTCCCAAAGTCACTTGCAAAACCTTGGAATTCATATAAATGCAAATGTTTAGCTTTCTCGCACTTCCAAGATTTATCTGTAAAACCTGTACTTACCGCCGGGAATTTAAAAGCTCGAAAAGTACAAAGTAGATGTTTCATTGGAAAAATTCCAACGTATAATATTTCTTATTATTGTTGTACGAATTTATGGTAATTTAACTTTTCTAAGTAGCCAATGTACGAATAGATTTTTATTTAATGCAAACGTTAATGTCTGCGTCATGATAATAAAAGTTAAAAAATGCCTTTCTCATTAACATTTTCAATATTTAATTTCCGGCCTTTTTGTAGCTGCGTATAATACCATTGTAGAAGCATCCCCGTCACGTTTCAATATCGCTTTGAGAATATGCTTTTTTGTATTTTTTACTACGCGCCCACAATTCTTTGTTCGTAGAAAATCAAATCGAATACAGTCTATTAAAAAGCAATGGAAATACATTTCATATTGAAGAAATAAAGATGGTGAATAAATGTATTTACGATACAATTTCAAAGAAATAATGTAATCCTTCTGCGATCTAAATTAAAATGAAATTTTACAGAAAATCTGGAAGCTGCGGAAATTGTTAAGGCAATTCAAGATGTAATTTCTGTGACCTATCGAGTATCTCTTCAACGACTAAAAAGTCCTCTTAATAATTAATTTTCGCCTGTTTGCCGACTCCACACTGACTTACTTTTTAATTAAAAAATTTTAATTAGCCTAGCCAAATTTTCATTAGAACAAAATTTTTAATTTAAAAAGTAAGAAAGTTTTCGTAAATCACATATCATACAAAATTATTTCTCTCACAATCAATCCAATAGTTTTCAATGCGCTATTTTAATCGTTATAGCTTTGAGAATGACATCGAGCTATCAATCGCTCTTTCAAGATCGAATTTGGACATTCACCTTAACGCGGTTACCATTGATCATCGTCTGTCGAAAGGCCCTGGCGGCTTGAGCCCACTGAACGACTCCGCACTCTACCAGATGCGTCATATCGTTCCTGGCGACGATGCAGCGCACGTTGTCGACGCTGGTCACGTTACCGTCCGTGAGGGTGACGGTGCTGGGACTGCAGTATTTGGCGGCGAGTACACCGGCCAGACAACTCATGCCACCACCAAGTTCAAGGACGTTCCGATTCCGGCAGAGGCCGTGATTCCTCAGCAGGTAGTAGGCCAGACACTCTTCGGACGGCCACACGCACACGTTGCCAGTATTGTTGAAGCCGATCAGCTCGCTCGCTGTGAAACACTTGCTTATCCGACGTATCTGCACGTTGTACGACCGACCGTCCAGCTGAGTCGAGTACTCGCACCAACTGAACTCGCCGTCCGCCAGCATGTTTTCCAGCAGCGCACACTTCAGCAGACCAAAACTGGTGAATCGTCTCACCGACACCTCCTCGTCGGACTCGCTGCCGATCGGTTCTGGCGATCCTGTCAGAGCTCTGGCTAAGATGCGCCATCGACGTAGAGCGCGAGTACTCCTTTTTGAATTACGAGGATCATTCGTCTCGACCGAGAGTGTCTCCCTACGGGAAAAAATCTCCTGCGACATATCGCAATCAGGCACATCGATCGATATTCGATAACATGTACAATTTCCAGAATTTTCTTCTCAGATTATAAAATTTTATATTTCAGAGGAAAGATTATTTCTTACTATTTCTCCTTGATTTAAGTGTCAATTTTCGACTGCATGCAATCACATGTGTGGATGTTCATCGAAAAGATGATCTCCTAGATGATCTCTCAAAGAATTTCGTTTGAAGATTTTTATTGGAGACTTCGTCAATGAACTTTCACTTCATCTCGCTGCTGCGAACCTGTGGAAGGCACGTGGGGACGACGCGTGTTCCTCCTCATCGCTGGTAAATGGTTTGCCGGTTCAGTCGGTGGATCGGACGGAATCCTCGTCGGTTCCGCGTCCTTCTTACCGCAACCGGTCCAGACACCGAATGCATACTTCCTTTCCTACTCCGCCTCGAGGGCTGCTCTCGCCCGACAAGGACGAGGATGGACGAAGGGATGGAACAAGACTAAAAGCACCAAGTCAAGTTCTAACTCGCGCCACGCGGACGATGAGCGTTCTCCACGCGTTGGATCAGCGCCTGCGCGACTTCTCTTTTCATTCCCTCCTCTTCGCGCTGATCCTCTTCCGTCCACCTTTCGCACCGTCTCCGTGGGTATTCCCCAAGACGTCGTGTTCCTCGTGTGTGCTTATATACTTTACGCTTTCGTAAAGATGTTCTGTCTGAGCTTTCTGAGATTCGAAGCTCAATGGTGAATCGGGTTCAATAGTGAGTTTGCAATCCGCATTGCTGGACCGCGCCGCTATTGAACGGCATACACCGAAATTCGTCGAAATTTCTTAAAGGAAGGTATGATGATTTATGCTAGCGAACTCTCGGAGATTTGTCATTCGAACGAGGGCTTTCGCGAAAGAACTATAGAACATTATCGCTCCATGTGATACCTAATGACTTCATGTGTAAGTCGAAACGTCTGTTTTTAGTTATTGGTTTTAAGTATGAATTTCTGTTATTAAAATAACTTCTACGGCTCGTAGCCTCTTATGTTAAATTGTTAATTTATCGCTCCCGCTTTTTCTTTATTATATGCGGAAAACTGTCATTCCAGTTTCCTTGTAAGACAATATTCGCGAACATTTCATATATTAAAGTATACAGAAAAAAATGATTTTACTAAAGTATTTAAAAATTTAGATAGGCAGATCTGAAAATAATTTTGTTTGGACCATTAAAATAATTAAGCAGGCCGCAACATAAATTCATCCACGTTCATTAAGCGTTCTATATAATTATTTTAATCATCCAACACAAAATTATTTTCACAGATCGGTATCTAACTAAATTTTCAAGCTATAATTATGTAAAAAAATAGTTGTAGAACACTTAAATGTTGATAACAATTTAAACTGCGTCCTGCTTAATTATTTGAATGGTCTAAACAAAATTATTTTTAGATTTGTCTACCTAAATTTTTAGATATTTTAGCAAAACCGTCCTTTCCGTTTATTAATATTTAATAAAACATTCACAGCATTGGCTGGCACGTGCTCGATGACATAATTATTTCTCGCCGCCTGTGATCGTATCGTAAGTTTTATTTCCTATTTTTACGACGCTTCTCGCCCCCCCATCAATCTATTACAGCTATACAAGTGCTATAACTTGTCGATGATAGAAAGCCGAGACCATGAATGTTCGACAGGTGTTCCAGTTACGAAGCTTTAATTGCTATTGATAATAAGCATACACAATAGAGATCCATAATCTTTGCGCATTAAAATTTTTTGAACATTTTATATAATAAATTCAGTAAAGTCTTACACAAGGTCTTACAGCTATGATAAGCTTCTATTTGTATCAATCTTAGTTTCTATCCGCTCCCTTGATCCTCCTATGATTAAGAAACGACGGTGGCTCGAAATGGTAAATACGTAGCGCTCCGTGCTCAGATATATCGAATTTATTATTATAATAAAGACCAGAGGAAAAGAACAATGGGCGGTATTAAATACCGTTATAATATACGGCCGGTTTATCCGAGCGTGTCATAAGTCTGGTTTTAACATCGCTACTGAAGATCTAGCTAGATGCGCGTCTCGTGCCAAGGTGTAGATATTAAACTGTCACGAAACTAAGGTTTAAATCTTGGCCTAAGTTTCCGGATGAGTGACGAAAAGCGCGTCCGTTGATCGTTTCTGTTTAAGCGATTCGTGCCTCGCGTGATCGCAGTTTCGATCGACAGCAAAAGCGAGGTGGAATTCTGGATCCGCCACGCGTTTATTTTTATCATCAATACATACGGCTCGGTGTAGCCTAAATAATAAATAATGTAATGGATTTTTTATCTTCACGCTCAAAGAAAAACAAAGTCATTAATTATATGAGTCATGTTTAACATCACGTATACGCAATTTATTTCTACGCAGAAAAAAAATACGTATTATATTCAAATATTAATTACTTATTTCAAGTATTTCAAAAGTTATATATTCGCAAATCTATTATCATAAGTTTCATCACAAGCATCAAATTTATTTAAAATATATTCTGAATTCAATGTTTTTAAATATATTCTAAATATTATTTAAAGTTTAATACTTCAATCAAGATTATTAAATTGAAATAAATTCGTTTTGTTTATTATATAAGTCAATTCTTTAAAATTTTATAATATTCTTTAAAAGAAAATAAATTCATGTTTTGAATACATAATAATAAATTTTTTTAATTCGTAATAATAAATAAATAAATAAATTTTAAGTTATCAAGAAAAATTCTTTATTAAAGATAAATGCTCTACCTAGAAAAAAGAAAAAAGTAAATTAAAACTGAATAAACTAAACTTTTCTTAACAGTAAAATAATATTTTTCTGTCATACATCACAGATTTTGATTGGCTATCAATTTCTAGCATCGATATACATGTGAATAATTTATTTATTATTAAATAAATGCAACGCGTGCGCGCTACCTGGAATTTCTAATTTAAACAATTCCCCTGTCACAGTCAGTTAAGCAACACAGGAAACATTGTGTATTAATATTTTCTACAGCAATTCAATACCACGGGAATTTAATGCAAGCATTTCACTTTGTGTAAATGTGAATAATAAAATAAAATGTGAATAATAAAGGAATATATGCATTTTGTTTATTACGGTCTTGATTCAATTTAACCGACGCAGAAAATAGCATAAATGAAATAATTAAATTAATTAACATATTACCTAGTATATTTTTATAATCGTAAGCATTTAAGTGTTTTCCACTATTCGATGGCTAAAATTTGAGAAGAATGCTTACAAAGAATCCAATAACTCTTCGCTCAGTGACAAGATTTGGAAGAAAGCCAAAATTATGACAGCCGGAACAAATGAATATAGCTACGAATATATGTGCGCTAAAAAAGCTACGTTTCCTTCGCAATACTATTAATTTAAACAAAACGGATGTAATTTATTAAAGATAATAATAGGCTATGACAATCGTACAGAACTACGAATTTCAATTAATTCTATAAAATTGGAGATGTGCGTCGTAGAAGATTATAACAAAGGAGAGGAAAAACTACACCTGTGGAATAAGTTACCGTTTCCGACTTACATGGACCTGACTAATACGAGCAGAATTCAATTTTCTCAGAAGTATAGCTGAGGCGAGAGAACCTCAAAAATTTTACCGTTGTTCACTGAAGTTATTCTTTCTCCTTAATCTAGATTCACAATCTTGCTTTAAAGGTCGTGAGCCGTAAAGCCATGAGAAATCGACCAATCACCGTCGAATATGAGAAAAATAATCGACTGTGATTGATCAATTTCTTACGGCCTTACAGCTTCAGTCTCTTAAAACAAGATTGTGGATTTAGACTTATGCGGCAATCATAAGACAAACTTATAAATGCCGAAAAAAAATAATAATTGCTCCTTCACTTTCGCGAGAGAGTAAACGCAGGACGGAATTGTTTATCAGAAAGACGATACCTAAAAAAGCATTAAGCATATTCCTACGTTTACCACGGGTGAGAGATCCTTCACATTTTCGCTATATTATCGCAGATGTCTCGGGTTTCTGGATCCATTAGCGATTTATCTTCCCGAGGCACGCGTCAAAACGTCACTACTTGTCTAGTTGAGCCACGTCCATTAAACCCTCATCCCTGTTCTTGAGAGAGTCAGCTTGTTAATTATTTACGAGATTTTTCGGGATTCGGAAAGATATTTATACGTCGAGGAGAGATATTGCTCCGCGGAGAGATATTTTTCTATCACGGCGCGTCGAATCGATCTCGTTATAATTATAGCAGAATCAAATTTTTAACGGTCAATGACACCGTTTCGAACGAGTCGGTCGATATATCTCTAATATTTTAATAATTGATATAATTATTTATAATTTATTTATTCAAAAAACTAATATATCAAAACTGAAATATAAAATTTAAAATTTATCCAAAAAATCTCATAATTTTTATCAAAAGGACAATCAAGAGAACACTAAAAGTAGCGAAGCTACTTTTTATAAAACTTTTAGATTGAATCTCACTTTGAAGAGTAGAAATTTCACTCTTAAAGATTAAAAATTGAGTCACTCTTTTTCAAAATTGGCTCAATTTTCACTCTTTAGAATGAAAATCTACTTCAAAACATTTAGAAAGTAAATATTCAAATAATCACAGATTCATAATACAACAGTATGTAATATAAATCTTCTATAAAAAGAAAAGAAAATAAAGAGAAAGAATAATATCAATTTTATTCTGCAAATTCTTACGAAAGATTCTAGATTGTTAAAACTAATTGTAAGTTCATTCCATAAGCATTACAATAAAATTGAATTATTTTGTAGGTCTATTAATAATAAAAATTAATGAAGTTACTTTATAACTATAAGGATAAATTAATTAATAGAATAGAATTTATAAGTGTGATATTAATGATATATGTGATATTACATTTCAAAGATCACTAAAGACTGGAATAAGCTAATAATTAAATCATGATGGATTTCTTGCATGAAAGACGTACGATTTGAGAGATATGATATTTTCTATATTAAATTCAAGACGTATAATCCGATACATATCCAAGTGCAAATTCAATTTCATTAAAGCGCAAAGCGTGATGCGGCTGATCTCCCCATCGTGGCAGCGACGGCGATGTGCTCACGTTTCTGTACGTTTCTCCCTCGTCGACACTTATGTAACCGCAATGAAACTGCAGGCACATACGTCTCTACTTTATATTGTTTGACACAAATAGATCCACAGTGGCAGTAGCACTCGCGGTTTTACTTCGTGTGTGAAGCCGATGGCCTCTTAGACGTTACGACTATAGACTTCCTTTAATATGATAATGCACTTCTTGATTCGAAAATGATTCAATTTCTCCAGTCAAATATTCTTAAGAGGACATTCTTTGTTATATCACATATATTAATAAGGATTATATACCATGCGAAATGCATAATTTATTAGGCCTGTTCTTTTTGGCTGAATTTTTGCACCAGTTCATCTTTCTTCCTCTTCTTTCTTCCTGGAGAGAAAAGGAAGAAAGATGAACTGGAGCAAAAGTTCAGCTAAAAAGAACAGGCCTATTGTTGTAGCTAACTTAAGATAGACTAATAAATATGTTATGTATATCGATATGCAACTTTTTATTGAATGTTCATTGGTTCAGACGATTTTATGGTAGCTGTGCTATGCTTTAGGACTAAAGATTTAAGTCTAGAATATAAGACCATTGTATAATACATAATATATAAAGAATAAGAAAATTAACCAATCAGAGTCTTTCATTTCATGGAAAAAAAAGGAAATGAAGGATCTTGATCGGTTCATTTTCTTATACCTTATGAATTACAAAACTCTATGCTCCCGTTCTTATTCTTAAATATTTGAAACGTGTAATCGACAAACTGAAGACAAAACAATAGCAACGTAGAAACATAGCTTGTTTCAAAAGCAAAACGGTTTCTGTAAACAGATTCTTAAATCTAGAAAACGAGTTGGTTCGTTATTAATTAACTTTAAGTTCGCCTGGGACAAACTTGAGTGTATGTTGGCGCGCGATTAAATCTCCGTTCTCTGCCGTTCCGATTACTCGAAATATCTCATCCCTAGAACGTGCATCTCGCGCCATGTGCGGCTGACGTAAGATGCGCAGCGGCGATACTATTATTTGTACCTACGCAAATATGTCCAGAGAAGACGTGAACGCAAACAGGCGCATAAAGACACTATTCGATTTAACGGAGTCTACAATCGAGGCGTGAATGCCAGAAATTGCATAAGACAGTTTATATTATACGGAATTTTAATTTGATAATTCGATTTGTGTGTCTAGCAGAATTTTTAAAAATTTAAATTTTTTATCATGCGACAAAAAAAACAGTTCAATTCGTATCAGTATTAATAAATTAATAATACATGCTGTAGGCAAAGCTAGAGATGTAACAGTCTTGATAACGAACGATTTTATCAAAATCCTGCAAGAAAAAAAAAATATATATATATATACATATATATGTGCATATACTTTATATACTATCCGAGTCTAACTTACACAGTCTGATTCTAATCTATTAATTAA